GTAATGTGTTTGCCGGTCTCTTTACCAATCCTATTTTCTATACCATTTGGATTTTCACCTTTGTGTCCCAGGTAAATATTTTCGCTAACGATCTTTAAAGAAAAAATTTTATTAATCGTAAAAATTTCCCCCTTAGATCATCATCATCCAATACGGTTCCTTGGCCTTCTCCACAAAAGCCCTCTCTTTGGAACAATGGCTGTGGTGTGTTGCCTTCGGCATGGGTACCCTATTGTGGGGTCAAATTGTCAGCACTTTCCCACCAAAGAAATAAGTCATCAATCACATAAAGTTGTTATTGTTTCTTCTTCCCACCCTCCCTCTTCTTCTTAATATGGTCGTCATCTTTAAGAGGTCGATTGCAACGTACATCAACAAAAATGTTTTTAGTTCATAACTTAACAGTATTTATTAATAATAGTAATTGAAAAAAAAAGAATCTAGCGAATGTTTTTAGCAAAGAATAGAATGAAAAGAATCATCCCGCCATCGTCAATCATTTTGTGCAAATAAAGTGAATTCATTTTATATTTATTAAACAACCATTGTTTTTTTAAAGGGGAAACTACAAATGGCAGCAATTTGGCGCCCAATATAAATTCAAGGTGTACGGGTGGCCTCCATGTGCTAAATTCAGCATTCAGATCTGATTGAGAGGATTTTTCGATCTAAAGGCTATCTTATAACTTTGGAACTCTCCCAAATCCTCAGAATCATATCCTACACGACCTGATGGGAAACATTGTTCAAACCTCATATAATTCTCCATTGGAAAAAAAATTATCATTTATTTATTTTTTGGTTCTTCGATTCATTAGGAACCTTTCCATTTTTTATTTAATATATGCTCGAAGGACCAAAAATGCTCTTCGTCATTGCAAAAATAAGTAGATGATTGGAACGCTTTTAATTTTGTTTGGCATTTAGAGCGATTCAATCGCGTAAAAGCTCCCATGATTTGTATGGGATTACTTTGAACTAGTTCATAACGGTTCATTTCAGTGAATAAATCTATTGCACAAATTCAATGACTCTTATTGAAAATACCCAGGAAATCACTCTGGAGAAAATAAAAACATCTGTTTTCTCAAGTTTAATGTCGAAAACTTAGGACGAAGCGAAAAATACATATTTCGCGTTGACTGAGGCGAAATTATATGCTTCAACTTTTCCACGTCATTTTAATATAACCTAAAAAAATAGGTTAAAATTATAGTAAAATATTGAGTAAAGTTTTCAAGACCAACCATTTAATAGCTTTATTAAATAAAAAATGGCCCTTCTAGTACATAAAGGGGTTCGAAGTAAATTTGCTTATATTCTAAAGGCCACTGAATTATTGATTTAATGTGTCCATTGAAAGGACTTGTCTTGTCAGGAGAATTCCATTTAACCTTTAAACCATCAGTAATCATTAATAACACTTACAATGGCGCCCAACTGTAACTGAACTTTGTCATAAATCGGCGCCCAATATGAATTGATATCTGATTGAGAGAATTTTTTTTTTTGATCCAGAGGCTTTCTAATACTTTTGGATCTTTTTCAAATCCCCCAGATCATGTAGATCATTTCCTACATATCCCAATAGATGAGTTTTTTCGAGCCTCTGATGTTTCAGATAATACTCCAATTGGCGAAGGACTTGTCTGGTCAGGAACTCTTACAATGGCGCCCAACTGTAACTGAACTTTGCCATAAATCGGCGCCCAATATGAATTGAGTGCACTGCAGACTTCAGGATATTGACATTTTTTAGCTGTTAGCTGCATGGGTAAGGGTGGCATCCAAGAGCTGTACTAAGCATCAGCAACTCTATATTATTCAGAGTATATAGACCTGGTCTAAAGGGCCTTGTTTTTGATCTAGAGACAATATTCCTATCCCAAATCCTTAAGATAATGTAGATCATTTCTCTTGACAGGAGAATTTCATCGAACTTCTGATGTTTCAGATAACTCTGCTCCTTGGCGCACGTCTTCTGTGGGCAGAAGCATCTCATCTGAATTAATACATTTTAAAGAGCAGATGCATGGAGCCCAACCAGGTATTGTAACTAAAACTTATTAATATTTAATTTGTTTGGAAAAATATTGGTTGCATCATGTTGTTGTAAATCGGCGCCCAGTATGAATTGATACGACTGCATCATTGGGTATGGGTGGGTGTGTTCAGCATCAGCGACTTCAGGATTAAGGGGATTTTTTCATCTATAAATTTTCTTATACTTTTCGATCTCTCTCACTTTCTCAAGATCATGTAGATCTACTCCGGCATACATTGGCAGGATAATTTTATGTGACCGATTTATTTGGCCTTCAAACTCCCATCTGAAAAGTGCTAATTGATATAACACCTTTGATGACGCCCAAACCGGCATTGTGATCTTTAAATTAAAACAATATTATGTCTTTGTCTGTAAAAACTTATTTTGCTTGACCATGGCGCCCGACTTAACTAAATAGTAGAGTTCCATAGGATGCAAATCACAATGGAGCCCAAGCATTGTGATTTGCACGCCGAAGATAATAATCTTCTTCTCTGCTGGCAATTTCTTCATAGGGCACAAGTCGGGATAATTCTCCTGTGTCTTTGGGCCGTTTATCAGGAGAATTTCCTCTGACTTATTTTGTTTGACCGTGGCGCCCAAATTACCGAGGAAAAAGAGTTTCATAATACATATAAAAATTAAAATGGCGCCCAATCATCAAACATAGGAGAATATCCGTCTTCGTCGTATGTTAATGTTTCTCTGATGTAAATTAGGTCAGCGAGAACAGAGAAATGATAGAGGTGACTTTCGAACTATATTGCAGTATTGACAACTGCAACAGGATCTATCTTACCTTTGGAACCCTCTCTCTCTAGATTATATACGTTCTTACTGACACTACTTGAATCACATATTTCGATTTGACACGAATGGCGCCCAATCATACAATACAAGCATTCAGCTAATTAGACATTTTATAATTAATATTTAATATATTTCTTACAGTCTCCGCCATTAAATTTTCTTTAATTATTAAATATTTTTTTTCCAATTAACTCCTCTCCTCCTTGGCTCACGTCCTATTTGGTATTAGAATGTTCATGGCTCTCCATGTGTAGCTTAAGCTACGAATTTGAATTTATCCATAGATGGTGGTTTGTGTTTTGCAGGTTGACTTCGATCTTTAAGAATTTGACCACAATGTTCAGACTTTCTAAGCCTTGTGTATCAGTGAACTCTTCTACTGTGAAGGAGTCACATAGTTGCAGGAAGCATCTTCTTTTGTTATTAAATTTACGAAAATTAAAAATTTCATGCGCAGCTGTTTGGATTCTGTTGAACGACTCGGACTTTATAGGTTATCCGTATTTGAAAACACACGTGTTAGTTAAGCGAACGCTTAACAACCGCCATTTTGTAAAAATCTATTTTTAAGCCCGTGGGCGTATAATACTCATTTAAACCTTTTTAGGTCACGTCTTTCCTGTGAGCCGTCCGAGGACGAACTGAATTAAATATTTTAACGATTATTTTCCACATAATTATGTTTATGATTTTTCGACCTTTCGAATGTTTAATAAATTAGAGATGGTTCATCGAGCTTGAGGTCAATGTTTTGTATTTATTTATTATTTCCAATATTTCGAAATTCGTTGAATTTCATCTTCAGGGAAGTTGATTTTTAAATAACAAACATTAAATAATTATCTTAAAACTAGCGTAGTGTGACTACCACGGTCAAAAGTTATTATTGCACTAATAACTAATAACTAATAGTGCAATAATAACTTTTGACCGTGGTAGTCACACTACGCTAGTTTTAAGATAATTATTTAATGTTTGTTATTTAAAAATCAACTTCCCTGAAGATGAAATTCAACGAATTTCGAAATATTGGAAATAATAAATAAATACAAAACATTGACCTCAAGCTCGATGAACCATCTCTAGATTATTTTCCACTTTTTATATTCCCTCATTGTTTAGGGACTTGTAGGTCGACTTTTGGCCTTTCGCCGTTATCGTTTTCTCAATTGTTGATCGATTACAACATATCGTCATGGAGTGGCGAAAGTCGATCTACTCATCCCTGGACCCGACACAAACACTGAGGCATTCATACCGACAGTGTCCATGTGTGTTAACAATGCGCTGTTCTCATGCATTCTCCATTCCACCTCATTCGTAAATATTTCGTTTTGCCACTTTGAGTTCTGCCTTTATCGTCCATTTTGTTTTCTTCCCTCATTCACATGGTATAATAATAGAAGGTAACAGCAAGTGTTGTTGTACAAAAAACGATACAACAACCACATGGAAATTTGTTTTTGTAAGTTCTACTAGTGTCAACTCATTTGACAGAAAAATGTAAACAAATGAACAAATTATCATCAAATTATTTTTATTTTGAAAATGAAATATTTTCGAATCCTCAAAATAAAAATTGAAAAACATGAATGAAAATCTATAAAATTTATATTTCTATCGCTTCCACATCTATCCTTTAATTGAGCCATTGCCATATATATGTGTAACACATATGAAAATGCTGGGAATAGCGAGTTATTCCTTGAATAAAGATTTGCTTCCTCAAACTTTCCCAGCAGGCAGATTGAGTAAATTGAATACGGGAGCACATTAATAGAGAACAATTTCAAATTGTATGTGTTCCCAATTTTCCTGTTGGGTGATTTTTAAAAACATAATTTGTCAAATTAATATTGACACTAGTATTACGTTGGAATCAAATCAGCAGGGATTTGCTGTTACCTTTTATAATTGTACCATGCCTCATTCATTAGCAGGTGGAACGTTTTTCAATTGCTATTGGTTGCAAACAACACTTTGACAGTTAATCAAGCCATTGGGAGTGGTGATTAGCTCTGCTGTCAAATAAAAATTAGTAAACACACACTTGTTATTTCCCAACGCAAAACGATCAATTTTCTTTTATTTTTCTTACGATTTTCTGTTAAAAACAATAATATTTATTTACAATAACAACAAAATGGAGCTGTGGAAAATAAGTATATTTGCAATAATAGCCATTTATTATTGTAGTCAAGGTAAGATGAATCTCCAAAACAAAAATTCATGATCACATTTGATCAGAAACCCCACCTCAATTGTAATTAATTGTGTTGTTGTTGCTTTGTCTGTTGTTTTCAGTCAACTTTGTTGCTGGCCTGGAATGTTATGTTTGCTCCAATCAAACGGGTAATGTTGAAAAATGCCTGAATACCATTAAAACCTGTGAACCGGGTGAAGATGTCTGTGGCACGGAGATTCGTTGGGGCAGCCAACCATATTTCTCACAGGGTGCACTGAAGCAGTATTACGTTTCGAAACGCTGCATGACCAAACAACGCTGTCAGGCCCAACGTAAACGTCATATGCCCTATTGTACGCACATTTGGTATGAGGATTGGTCGTGCCATGAATGCTGTCAGGGTGATCGTTGTAATTATTTTGTTATTGTAAGTATTGAATTGATTTATTTAAATTAATTTAATGATTTTATTTTGGAAGTTTTATACTGGAATGCAGTGGAGCTAAGGTCATGGAACTATAATTTGGGTTTAATTAAATATTTAACAATGCAACTTGATCAAAGTGAGGGTAGTGGATACCCAGTATCCATCCTTGCAAATGCCTACTCGATAAGTACAAAACGAAACTTAGTACAGATTTGAACGTTTACAGAGAATAATTCAATAGGCACACAAGTGAAATCAAGAGGGCTAAACGCTGATCTTGGATTTCTTTAGTGAATCAATCGAAGAATTTAATGAAGCGGCCAGATTACGCAGAGTAATATCTAAAGATTACAAATCGATAGGTAGTATTAAGCGAATTGATAAAACGTGGGCAAGCTCCGGAATATAGAAAGACCCACCTAAGGGGTGGATTTTTTAAAAATATGTTTTCAAAGACCCACTTAAGGCCTGGATTTGTTTAAATTATTTTTTCAAAGACCCATCCAAGGCATGAATTTTTTAAAAATATTTTTCGAGGTTCGAATGTAACGTTAAAGTTATTCGGTGAATTGTGAAAATATTGCGACTTCTTCCTCCACCCATTCCTTACTGATTCCTTGTTTGTTTTTATTTTTGTCATCCTATAAATTCTATTCCTTTTCTCCTTTTTTCTTACAGAGTGGCTCCTCAAAACTCAATGGTGCTATGAGCTCAATATTGGGAATAACCTTGGTTTCCATGTTAGCTGGACTACGAAAATTTATTTTTTAAGAAGCATCCGAGTATTATGCAGTAGCTGAATATGTATAAACCCCATATATATACATAATTTAAAAATTTAATACCGTCCTAAAAGTGCTCTTATTTTCTAAGAATCTCTTTTTTTAACTCGAATATCATATTTCACTACAAAATATAACTAAACAATTTAGTACTAAGCCTTATACAAACTTTTATACACAGTGTATGTATTAAAAAAAAAGTGATGACATTCCTACTATACATATCGCACACATTCCGTCCAATTGTTCAAATTGTCTTTATAGTTAATTAATTATTTTTTTTATATATACAATATTTAATTCCCAAAAAGAGGAACGAATAAAAACTACAATTTGTTTTTTACAATAAAAAAAATACCCTCCACCCCAACTTATTTCATTGAAGATCACAATCATTAATGGCACTCTAGCGAACATGTAATGCATTTAAACAACCTAATTTGTGAGAGCAGCAACCACATCGTTTTCCCTATTCATGTCAAAGTTATCATTAACTTGTTAATTTCCATTTTTTTCTATTTCATATATAATCAAACTATGAGAAAAAAGCTAACACGATATTCGAATTGTTTAGTTTATTATTTGCAATGGAAGCCGATAGAAGTTCCATGAATCAAATATCTCACATTAATTTAAGTGAAATGTAAGTAAACCATTCTTTAAAAAATATAATTTTTAATAATTTGTAAAATCTTTTTTTAAGTGATTTAGCCAGCGATAACAGACGCCAAAGAAACCGCAGCCAAAGTGGTGGGATGGTGAAATGTCGTAATTCATGTATGAAAACCACAATGGCTGTTACAGTTTTGGGTTTACATAATATACTAAATACCCGATTGCTGCTTTGAATATTTATTTTTCAGAATTTAAAAATAAAAAAATTAAAAATTATTTTTTAAGGACCCACCTAAGGTGTGGATTTTTTAAAAATATTTTTTCAACCATTCAAGGCGTGGGTTTTAAAAATATTTTTTAATACCAAAGACGTGGATTTTTTTAAATATTTTTTCAATGACCCATATTAAGCTTCGATTTTTTAAAAATATTTTTTAAAGACCCACATAAGGCGTGGATTTATTTTTTTTAATGACTCCATAGGCGAGGATTTATTAAAAATATTTTTTTGCAATAATCGGATTTTTTTTAATAATATTTTTCAAAGGCCCACTAAAGGCGAAGATTTTTTTCAAAAGCGTAGATTTTTTAAAAATAATTTTTTCAAAGGCGTAGATTTTTTAAAAATATTTTCTTCAAAGGCGTAGATTTTTTAAAAATATTTTCTTCAAAGGCGTAGATTTTTTAAAAATATTTTCTTCAAAGATTTTAAAAAAAAAATATTTTCTTCAAAGGCGTAGATTTTTTAAAAAAATATTTTTTTCAAAGGCGTAGATTTTTTAAAAAATAAGTTTTCCAAAGCGTATATTCGTCGTAGATTTAAAAAAAAATTCAAAAGCGAAGATTTTGTAAAAATATTTTTTTCAAAAGCGTAGATTTTTTCAATTTCTAAAAATAATTTTTTTTATTTAAAAAAAATTTAAAATATTTTGGAATTTTTAAAAATAAATTTTAAATTTTTTTTTTGATTTAAAAAAGACAATTAAATTTTTCGGATTTTTAAAAATAAATTTAATTTTTTTTTGGATTTTTTAAATAAATTTTAAAAGTATTTTTGGATTTTTTAATTTTTTTTAGCTGGCTTGTGACAGAACTTTCGTTCCATAAGCCGAGCTTAAAAGATTTCCAGGCGCGCCAGTTTTTCCAATTTGAAAGACCATTTTCGGCAATGTTGTCTTCGACTTGATCTTTCCATTTTATTCATGGCCTTCCCCTTCTGCGTGAACCATCAGCTGGTTCGCTTTTATATGCCTTCTGGGCTGGGGCATCATCATCTATTCTGCAGCTCAATACGTCTAACAATGTCGATGTCCGAGAATAGCTGGTACAACTCATAGTTCATTCGATGGCGATATCACCGTCAACGCAGATCGACCCATAGATCTTTCGGAGAATTTTTCTCTCAAACACTCCAAGAGCTCCAATGCTTCAGATCCATATAACAGCACGGGTAGTATCAGCGTCTTGTAGAGTGTGAGTTTGGTCTGGCTGGAAGTGGCCTTGCTTTTGAGTTGTTTGCTCAGACCATAGTAGCATCGGTTGGTCATCACCATCCTTCTACGAATTCAAAACTGATGTCATTCGTTTTGTTTATGGCGGTACCAAGGTATATACAATCCTTGACTACCTCGAAGCTGTAGTTCTCAAGTTCCACAGTTGGTCCGAGTCTACTAGACGTCTTGCGCGTTGATACCATCAGCTTGGTCTTCTCGCCGTTTACTGCCAGACCCAATTTGGCAGACTCCTTCTCAATTTGTTCAAAGGTGGCTCTCAATGTTCGACCAAATATGTCGATGTCATCGGCGTAGGCGAGTAACATTCGTTGTTTGGTGTACAGAGTGCCATTTCTGTTCACTTTTGCCTCTCGTATCACCTTTTCCAGCAAGATGTTAAAAAAGTCAAACGACAAACTATCACCTTGTCTAAATCCTCGTTCAGTATTAAAGGGCTCCGAGAGGTCCTTTCCGACTTTAACTGCTAATCTTGTGCCTGTTAAAGTTATCCTGCATAGCCGAATTAATTTTGCAGGAATGCCAAACACAGACATGGCTTTATACACCTCTGAACGGATAGGATTGTCGAATGCGGCTTTATAGTCGACGAATAGGTGGAATGTGTCGATGTGTTTTTCGTGTTTTTTTCCAGGGTTTGGCGCAGTGTGAAAATCTGGTCAATGGTGGATTTGTCAGGTCTGAAGCCACATTGGTATGGTCCAATAATGTCATTGACCATTGGCTTAAGTCATTCACACAGTACGCTGGATAGCAATTTATATGCGATGTGAAGGAGACTTATTCCTCTATTGTTGGCACATATCGTCTTGTCTCATTTTTTGTGCACGGGACACAGGATGCTGGGGTTCCAATCATTGGCCATGCTTTCCTCTAGCCAAACTGTACTAATCAGCGGGCGCATGCCTCTTACCAGCATCTGACCACCAGTCTTGAATAGTTCGGCTTGTAAACCATCGGCACCTGCTGCTTTATTATACTTCAGCCGATCGATTGCTATTCTCACTTCCTCTTGGCTAGGTGGTATACACTCTATACCGTCATCTATTATTGGTTCTGGGGTATCCACTTCACTGCTTCACCAGGGTTGCTTTCGTCAAGCAGTTGGGTAAGTTGAGCGGAGCAGTCTTCTGCTATCTGTTGTGTTTGCAGCTTTTCGACGATACATTTCCGCGTTACATTAGATCGCACCTTGGCTGCCACAAGGTAATGGTCCGAATCGATATTCGCTCCCCGGGTCGATAGGACGTCTAAAACACTGTATGAATGCCTTCCGTCTATCACAACATGATCGATTTGATTTTTCGTTGTTCGATCGGGAGAAATCCAAGTGGCCTTGTATATATAGAGATGCTTGAATCTGGTGTTGCTAACTACCATGTTTTTTGTTGCCGCACGAAGTCAATCAATCTCATGCCGTTGTCTGATGTTTCTTCATGGAGGCTGAATTTTCCGACGGTGGGCCCAAAGACATTTTCCCTTCCGATTTTTGCATTAAAATCTGCTAGCAGAATTTTAATATCATGGCCAGGGCAACGATCATATGCTGTTTCTAGGCGCTCGTAAAATATCTTCGGTAAGGAGCCCAATAAAATTGATTAACAATCACGACAGGGTGTGTATTTTTTAAAAATATTTTTTCAAAGACTCACCAAAGACTTTGATTTTTTAAAACATTTTTTTGAAGACCCACCAAAGTTGTGCATTTTTCTTAAATAATAAAAATATTTTATATTTTCTTTACTAAATTTAATTTTCTTTTATTTTGTTTTATTATTATATATTATACATAATTTATAATACATCATCATTATTTAAATACAAACTATATATAAAGTGTTTTACAAATGTTTTTTTCTTGTTGTTGTATTTTTTCAAATTTATAATCAAATAAAATATGATTATGCTTGCTAAAACGTAAACTTATACAGAAACAAAAAAAATAATGAAAAACACTTTCAAAATTAATTGTTAAATGCGCGAGCCAAGGCCAAAAACAAAATATTAAGGGGGTGGGTGGAGAAGAAGAAAAAAAAAAGAGACAATAAATTAAAAGAAAAAAATTAACGAAAAACATTTTTTTAGTGGGAGATTTAAAGCCAGAGAAGAATACAATTTGAATGGAATTTGTGATCTATAGATTACAATAGAGCTATATAATCTTAGATTATTTAAAAAAAATATCCTCCATGTATATTTTTTTCTTACTATAAAAAAAAACTAATTAGTCCAAATATTCAGCAAGAAGTTGTGGTAAGTAGTTCCATCGAACTAGAAGGCATAGAATAAGAAAACAAATCACAATCAGTGCTTAAATTATTTATCAGCATTGGGAGGAGATTGGAGTGGCAGAGGAACTACAACAACATTCAATATCAAAATTTTGGAAGATAGGGGAGGAACGACACAAAAATTCAATATCAAAATTGTACAGAAACATTTTTTGTTTTTGTTTATTTAGAAGGGGGAAGAGGTCCTACATATTTATATATATAAAAATGTTTGCAAGGGGAGTAGAGGTTTTTCAAACTTTCTTTTTTTCAAGATAAGGAAGGAATATGGAATTGAAACAAATCTTTTTTTAAACACACAAATTTAAATTTTTGTGTGGGTGTGTGTGTGGAAATTTAGAAAACTTTTTTTTTTTGTATGGGCAAACGTTTTACAGTTCATCCTTGGTTAGGAGAGTGTAACGATTCTTGGAGGGTCCCAATTTCTTGAAGGTTGATTCGGGCGGTGATGTATTGGAATTTACATCGGCTTGGATTTCATTTGTCACTGGATCGGGGCCATAATGGAATTCCCTGAAAAGGCAGAAAACAAAATAGTATACAAAATAAATTAAAATTAGTTTCGTTCACCCTTACCTATGCAGCTTGCCATTGTACAAATCCTGCAAGAATTGCTTCAATTTACCCGGCTGGTACATATCCTTAAAGTTGGGGAACAAATACATGTGTCGGAACGAATCAATGGCAATAATGGGTAAATCTTCTTCCGATTTTCCCAAATGATGCAGGGGATGGGCAAAACGTTTACCATCAGCCGTTAGGAAGTTGACATTTTCTGGAGAAAGAAAATAGGATTTTTTAATAAAAAATCTCAATAAAAAAATTAAAACCCCAACATACGTTTCTCATCCATCAGCTGTTGTTCAATGATGGCCTTGTAGTCCTTAATCGAATTAGTATCGTCCGGGTGATGGAATAATATCAAGAAGGGCAAACCTTCTTCGGTCAATTCTTCGGCATTTTCGAAGGTAATCTCACGCACCAATGGTACACATTTCTCTTGTATCCATATTTTTAGTTCATCGAAATTTTTAAGGCTACCCGTATAGGTTTCATCATTTTCATGGGTCAGTGCCACATCGGGACGGAATACGATGATGGGATGTCCTGTGGAAAAAACAGAATTTTATTGTTAGTTTTTTTCTTTTTTGAAAAGTGAAGCGTTTCAATTTTTGTTCACCAAAAAGAGATCGAGTGGGAGACTATTTAAATTTTTTAAATTAATAATAATTTAGTTCGGGAGGTTATATTATGATTTATATATGAGTTGGAGTAGTCGCTACAAAGGCATTTTAGGCAGGGATTTTTAACAAAGCCGTGAATTTTTTAAAAGTATTTTTTAAAGACCCATCATCACAGGCGTGGATTTTTTAAAAATATTTTTTTAAAGACCCACCAAAGGCGTGGATTTTTAAAAATATTTTTTTAAAGACCCACCAAAGGCGTGGATTTTTAAAAATATTTTTTTAAAGACCCACCAAAGGCGTGGATTTTTAAAAATATTTTTTTAAAGACCCACCAAAGGCGGGATTTTTAAAAATATTTTTTTAAAGACCCACCAAAGGCGTGGATTTTTAAAAATATTTTTTTAAAGACCCACCAAAGGCGTGGATTTTTAAAAATATTTTTTTAAAGACCCACCAAAGGCGTGGATTTTTAAAAATATTTTTTTAAAGACCCACCAAAGGCGTCGATTTTTTAAAAATATTTTTTTAAAGACCCACCAAAGGCGTCGATTTTTTAAAAATATTTTTTTAAAGACCCACCAAAGTCGTGGATTTTTTAAAAAATATTTTTTTAAAAAACCACAAAAGGCGTGGATTTTTTAAAAAATATTTTTTTAAAGACCCACCAAAGGCGTGGATTTTTAAAAATATTTTTTTAAAGACCCACCAAAGGCGTGGATTTTTAAAAATATTTTTTTAAAGACCCACCAATGGCGTGGATTTTTAAAAATATTTTTTTAAAGACCCACAAAAGGCGTGGATTTTTAAAAATATTTTTTTAAAGACCCACCAAAGGCGTGGATTTTTAAAAATATTTTTTTAAAGACCCACCAAAGGCGTGGATTTTTAAAAATATTTTTTTAAAGACCCACCAAAGGCGTGGATTTTTAAAAATATCTTTTTAAAGACCCACCAAAGGCGTCGATTTTTTAAAAATATTTTTTTAAAGACCCACCAAAGGCGTGGATTTTTTAAAAAATATTTTTTTAAAAAACCACCAAAGGTGTGGATTTTTAAAAATATTTTTTTAAAGACCCACCAAAGGCGTGGATTTTTAAAAATATTTTTTTAAAGACCCACCAAAGGCGTGTATTTTTTAAAAATATTTTTTTAAGACCCACCAAAGGCGTGGATTTTTAAAAATATTTTTTTAAAGACCCACCAAAGGCGTGGATTTTTTAAAAATATTTTTTTAAAGACCCACCAAAGGCGTGGATTTTTTAAAAATATTTTTTAGAGACCCATCATCATAAGGAGTGGATTTCTTAAAAATATTTTTTTAAAGACCCACCAAAAGCGTGGATTTTTAAAAATATTTTTTAGAGACCCATCATCATAAGGAGTGGATTTCTTAAAAATATTTTTTTAAAGACCCACCAAAAGCGTGGATTTTTAAAAATATTTTTTTAAAGACCCACCAAAGGCGTGGATTTTTAAAACAAATTTTTTTCAAAGTGACAGCGACTACAACAACCGATTTAAAACGAAAATAAAAAATATTTTACCAAAAATCTTAATAGAAATGAATTTTAATAAATTACAACCAAAATAGAGAAGCCAACCATTTTGAGGTTATGTTCGAATTTTGTGCAACCAAATAGAAAAAATGCCAAAGCAAAAGTGTTATTAATAACAAAAACAAAATAAAAACAAAAAATTAAATTAAAACAAAAATAATAATTACCTAAAGTTATATTAAGTATTGCATTACCTAAGGGTTTATTTTCACCACCTTGTTTGTGTTTATTTTTTTTTTAAGGTAGAGACAAAAATATACATAGGTGAAGAAATCAAGGGATTACATGTGTTAGAGATCAATCATTGCATGCAGGTTAATAAAATTTAAAAAAAAAATTGAACAAAAATGTACTCCAACTTACCCGGTGGATGCATTGCCTGAGCAGCCTCACCAAAACCAACATGAAATTGACATTCATCCTTGAGATTGGAGGCAACTTTACGGAATGTATCATATTCCGGTTGATCACGACGATCAAAGTAACCGATAATTATGCGCTTCTTCGAATCCAACGTTTCCAAATCTTTCAACGAATGGAATTCTTTAATCGGATCCTCCAATTGTTTCTTGACAAATTCCAAAAATGCCTCTGCTGAGCGTTGTCCACGATATTCACGTTTCGACAGCTGGCCATTGCGTACAATTTTCAATGTTGGATATTTGGTGATGTGAAATCGGGATGCAATTGCGGTTTCTTTGTCACAATCAACTTTACCTAGGACTACTTTACCGGGATCGGGAAAGGCTTCGCGGACCTGTGAGGGAGCAAATTAAAAAACATGAAATTAGTAAGATTTTCTAAAATGATTTTGTAAATAATAAACATTACCTTATCTGCAGCCTCGTTAAATATGGGTGCTAATAAATTACTAAATCTACACCATTCGGCATAAAAATTTAAGAATACCAATTCATTAGAGGCTGTAAAAGAAGGAGAAAAGAGAGAAAAATTAGAAAATTTAAAGTAATTTTTTAATATTTATTATTTATGCATATGACCGGCTGCCCTGGCCGTGACATTAAAATTCTGCTAGGAGATTTTAATGCAAAAATCGGAAGGGAAAATATTTTTGGTCCCACTGTCGGAAAATTCAGCCTCCACGCAGAAACATCCGACAACGGCATGCGGTTGATTAAATTCGCGGCAGCAAAAAACATGGTACTTAGCAGCACCAGATTTAAGCATCTCGATATACACAAGGCCACCTGGATTTCTCTTGATAAAGCAACGAGAAATCAAATTGACCATGTTGTGATAGACGGAAGGCATACGTCCAGTGTTTAGACGTTCAGCCAAGATTCGCACTCGTCTTGTAGCAGCCAAGATTCGCACTCGTCTTAATGTAGCAGCAAAGGTGCGATCTAATTTACCGAACTGCTCAATTTACCGAACTGCTTGACGAAAGCACCCCTTGTCCGATAATAGTATAGAAGCACAATGGCAAAGAATTGCCCACTCCCTACATACTGCAGCAAAAGCAACACTTGGGTACCAAAAACCACCACCAAAGAAATCCATGGTACGATCAGGAGTGTCGTAATGCTACTGATATGAAAAAAGGCAGCGTATAGGGCAACCCTGCAGACAGTAGCAACACGTAATGTGATGGTGAATTAGCCGGGGAAAAGGAGGGAGGAGAAACGTTTTTTTTTTTCAGAAAAAGGAAGAAAGAAAAACTTGATCGTGAGCAAATAGAGATGTACAGGAGTCAGAACGAAGTCCGAAAATTCTACCAACGGGTACATCTTCCTGTATAGATGAAGAAGGAAACCTGGTGACAGATACAGACAGTGTGCTGAGGATCTGGAAAGAACATTTTGAAAAGCTTCTGGTATCAAATAGTGGCGGTGAAGAAGATACACCAGAACCAATAATTGATGACAGTATAGAGTGTATACCACCTAGCCAAGATGTGGTCAAAATAGCAATCAATCGGCTGAAGAATAATGAAGTAGCAGCAGCCGATGGTAACCCATCGAATTATTCAAGACTGGTGGTCAGATGCTGGTAAGGATCATGCACTAGCTGATTATTACAATTTGTTTAGAAGAATGCATGCCCAATGATTGGAACCTCAGCATCCTGTGTCCCGTGCACAAAAAAGGAGACGAGACGATATGTGCCAACTATAGTGGAATAAGTCTCCTTCCCGTCGCATATAAAGTGCTATCCAGCGTGCTGTGTGAACGACTGAAGCCAATAGTCGACAATATTGGACCATACCAATGTGGCTTCAGACCTGGCAAATCCACCATTGACCAGATTTTCACTCTGCGCCAAATGCTGGAAAAAAACCCACGAAAAACACATCGTCACATTCCACCTATTCGTCGACTATAAAGCCGCATTCGACAGCCCTATCCGTTCAGAGGTGTATAAAGGCATGTCTGCGTTTGGCATTCCTGCAAAATTCATGCGGTTATGGAGGATATAAGTTATCCTGCATAACCGCATGAAGGTGGCACAAGGTCAGCATTTAAGGTCGGAAAGAATCTATCGGAGCCCTTTAATACCGAAAGAGGATTCAGACAAGGTGACAGTTTGTCGTGTGATCTTTTTAACATCCTGCTGGAAAAGGTCATACGAGACGCAAAGGTGAACGGAAATGGGACTCTGTACACCAAACAACACTCGCCTAAGCCGATGAAATCGACATAATGGGTCGAACACTAAGAGCGGTAACAGCCACCTTTGAACAAATTAAGAAGGAGTCTGCCAAAGTGCTAATGGCAGTAAATGGCGAGAAGACCAAGCTGATGGTATCAACGCAAAAGACGTCCAGTAGACTCGGGTCAACTGTGGAACTTGAGAACTACAGCTTCGTAGTAGTCAAAGATTTTATATACCTTGGTACCGCCATAAACAAAACGAATGTCCTCAGTTTTGAAATTCGGAAAAGGATTGTGATGACCAACAAATGCTACAATGGTCTGAGCAAACAACTCAAAAGCAAGGCCACCTCCCGCCAGACCAAACTCACACTCTACAAGACGCTGAGGCTACCCGTGCTGTTATATAGATCTGAAGCAAGGGTACTTACGCAAGCAGAGGAGGCAATTCTCCGAAAGATCTATGGGCCGGTCTGCGTTGACGGTGAATATCGGCGTCGAATGAACCATGAGTTGTACCAGCTATTCTCGGACATCGACATTGTTAGACGTATTGAGCTGTAGCGACTACCTTGGTTAGGTCATGTTGTGAGAAGGGATGAAGATACCCCAGCCCAGAAGGCATATAAAAGCGAACCAGCTGATGGTTCACGCAAAAGGGGAAGCCCACGAATACGATGGAAAGATCAAGTCGAAGGCAACATTGCCGAATATGGAAAAACTGCGACGCGCCTGGAAATCTTTTCTAAGCTTATGGAACGAAAGTTCTGTTACAAGCCAGCTAAGTAAGTAAAAACGTGGATTTTTTAAAAATATTTTTCTTTTTAAAAACCCATCCAGCGGCCTGGATTTTTTAAAAATATTTTTTCAAAGGCCCATCCAAAGGCTTGGATATTTTAAAATATTTTTTTAATGACCAGCCAAGGCGTAGATAATATATTTTTGCATAAAATTATTAGAACTCAATTGTAAAATTTTAATCACCAACCGATAATCATTATGTCATTTAATTATTTTTTTTTTTTTATTTTATTTTATTTATTTATTTATTTTTTTTTTTTTTTGAACCAACGTAGGAACCAGTTTGACCTAAAAGTTCATAACCCACTGAAACACATAATCATCATAGCTTGTTTGAAAAATTATTATGAAGACACAACCAACAAGTGAAAGTTATTAATTTAAATATATTGACGTAAAAAAATATAAAAAGGTTGGCCAAAAAAAAAAGAGTATTATGTAAGAAACGAAAACAATCAAATAGATGCCTAATTTTATGATAAATTAAAAAAAAAAATATTTTCATATACATTTTTGGTAGCAAAATATTAAGGACGGACTATAGACCGGTCGCGTAATACTTAACACAGCTAAAAAAATGCGTAAATGCTTTAAAAATACCTTAAAATCGGACGCGATCATTATATGGTTAACTGGAATGTAATCATCAAGCATCCTATTTTTTATTATTTTATTAACGAATGTTAGGCGGTGTTACAAACGAAATGATAATGTAATCGACCCCTCCATAATACAGTGGATCCTATAAAATTATATGGATTCTCCAGAAATGGAGAGAGATCAATGACATTTCTTTTTGTTTTCTTCTTCGCGCCTTATTTAACATATGGGAAATATAGACGACTTCAATTTATATTAATTATCGAGTTTTTGTTCCACACAAAACAATGGAAATATTGATATTTTTTGTTAAACAAACTTTCAGTCGACTCTACCTTTAAGGTGTTTTTTTAACAACTTCATTGAAAACGGAAAGTTGTTGTTGTTTTTAAATATACATGTATAGATTCTTTTTAATTTTATTGTTTTATTTGCACTATATATATATATATATATATATATATATAACACGAGCAATTTAGATAGCATTTATGGAGGACACAAAAAAACACATGTTTCATTGTAACAATGAAATCTGTTTTTACAAAATAATGCTATCTGGAATGTAAAAAAGGTTAATTTATGCGAAAAGAATAATTTCCGCATTTAAAAAAAGGTTTTACCTTCATTTTTAATTTAATTCATAATTGTTTCCATTCAAAATTATAATAGGCCTAATAATCCAATACAATTTGATACTGATACACAGCAGATATTCTGGTGGACTAATACAGATGGGGGTTCAAAATTTTCTAGAAAAAAAAATAACTATTTAAAAATGTTGGCCTTTGGAACCCGAATTTAATGAAATATGACATAGTATCGATGGTTATAGAGATCGGACATTTCTCAACCACTTTAGATTTCTAATGATGCTGTAGATTAGAACAGGTTCCGTTGTTGAGAAGAAACTAAGAAAGTGAAGCACCCACTAGTCTGTGCCGTCTGTAGGAGACGGGACTGGGCATCGACACAGGAGATGCTCAATTGTCTCCGTCTCCTCCTCGTCAATACAGAGTCTACAGTAATCAATAACATCATGGTCCCATTTACTGGTAAATGATTCCTGTCATTACTCTTATTTCAACTTTGCTCAGGTTCAACAGTGAGTATGTTCTTTTGGTAGACAGTGTCGGCAAAATGGATCTTGACACGTTGCACCTAGGTTCGTTGTGCCAAAGTTCATAGGCTCTTTCGTCGAAGAAGGCCTCAAAGGTCTGGTAAAGATGACATATGGTTGGTTTGATTGAGTCATCATTTGCTAGATCTGTGGATTGAAATCCTCGTCTAGCTAGTTTGTCTGCTCTTTCATTACCCAAGATGTCAC